CATTGGTGAATGGCACAAATTCTCCTAAATCACTCGTACGCACAATTTAAGAACAAATCTGTGCGTACCAACGGTTCTTGCATGAGGCCCAATGTACCAAATGTAGAAAGGTTGGGACAGGGTCAGTTGTCCCATTTTGTTCTGATGTAGGAACTGCTCACCTGTCTCACAATGATCTTCATTTCTACATTTGATATGTTTATAATGTTCTACTGTGAATAAAACACAAATTTGAGATTCACAAATCCTAACACTTTGTCTTTTTCCTTCACATTACACACAATGTTCAAGTTGTATAGTTGTATATATAAATGAACACAGACAGAGGCCTGTCGTCTCCCACCTCCATCTTCCAGTGGCTCAGCCATTCTTCTTTCTGCCTCCTGCTGATGTAGTAGGGATCTCCAGCCTGGAAGGTCACTCTGGGGACCGGCCTCCTCCGGAGCCTCCCAGTCTCTCCCTGAACACACAAACAAACCAGTGTCACAGCCACAGCTTCATGCAGCATAAAACCAGCCACAGCTACTGGTTTGCTCACCTCTCTGGGAGAATCACAGTTTCTGTCAGAGTCTGGCTCATCTGCAGGTTCAGAAAGGTCAAAGGAAATGGGTCATTTGTGCACATTTAACACGAGATTTAATGAGGAAACAAAGTCTCCATCCACAATATTTGAATATTCAAAATGCTTCCAAACCCAGCAATCTGGGAGTGGTTTAAATTATAAATTTAGATAAATAACTCATTTTTCATAATGCTCATTATGACTTCCAACTTGACATAAGCATGTTCAATCAATAAACAACCAATTCTTACCCTTATTTTTCTCAGTTTGCTCAGTTTTCTGGCGCCTACGCTTCCTGCGAGCGGAGGGGGAGGGCTCAGGCTCCTCAGGTGGAGTTGGGGGGGCGTTTGYACAGGGGTCAGAGGTCACCATCTCCTGAGAAGCAAACAGAGCAAAGTCTAGGTCTGAAAACACCTGTCTAGACTACTCAGAGGGCAGCAAACACACACAGACACACACACACACACACACACACACACACACACATGTATGTGCTTTTTACGCTGACAGGAAACACATGCGGGCTGAAGCTACAGCTACCTGCACATTCCTGGTGTGAGCTTATTAATGCAACACTGAGCAGGTGTTGCACAGACTCACACACAGTTAATCAGGGGGACAGCATCATCAACAGTGTTACTGATTATAAACACAGATTAAAGCATCATAACTGATCAGAACATCTAATCATAACAAACTGATATTAGAGGAGCTCAGAGTTTGGTGAATGGTTTAGGAAGGAAGCTGTTTTTAATAAAAGGACCATCATCAGTGCTGCTAAAAACAACTGTCTGCTTTCTGCTGCTAACAGGTGTTYATAGGKGGGTATTTAGAAAGTGAAGGGGTAACTGGAGTAAAACCAGCTCGTGTGAACAAGCTCTGAAAAAAAGGAGGCCTGGTAAAGGCTGATTACAAAAAAAGTGCTGAAAAGGCCTGAGGAAAGGCTTCAGCCCACTTTTTACACACCTACACAGTGTCCAAAAGCTCCAACACAAAGCTGAAAACATTCATGTTTGCTGCGTGGTGTTTCAGCTAGGTTTAATCTTTGTAAATGTAGCTGGGCACTTCCTTTCCTCTGCTTCAGCTGTAAAAGTTAAAGCAGGACGCAGCACTAAAAGCCTGCTGGGGTTGAAGTGTCCAGTCTGCTTCTGGATGACAGAACAACCAGGAAGTTTCATTCTTACTGACAGTAAACTGTTCAGAGCTCTGCTGATTATACTGACTGTTTAAAGGAAAATAAATAAAGGCATTGCTTGAAGAAATTATCATCCAACGCCTTTCATCTCAAAGTTTTAGACTGAGAATGGGGTAAAAACTGTAGCTGTTTTTATCAGTTTTATAAGATATCTCACTCAGTGATGAGGATGACTCAGATATTTCTGCATCAAATGTAAGCCTAGTATCTGGTAAATACACTAAGATGAAGACATTTTTGTGTTGCTTAAAGTCAGTTAGTTGTAGTGGCCATCTTGCTACAGGTTGACGCCAAAGCTGTACAACAAATACTTCCTGAGTTTCATAAAAACCTGTTCAGTGGTTCTGAAGATATTTTAGTTACACACACATGAACACATGAACACATGAACACATGAACACATGAACACATGAACACATGAACACATGAACACATGAACACAAACACAGGTAAAACACTATCATCCACCTTCACCTTTTGGCAGCAGCTGATATAAATGTTACATTAACTTGTTAAAAACACTTCAGCTGCTTTGGTTAAGGCAACAACTTGATAAAATACATGAAAAAATAATGATTATTTAGCACGTAACACAAAAACATAAACTAGTAAAAATAAAAAAGTAATTTACCCAGCTTTGTTCAGTGGCTGAAACTTGCTATGTAATCAAGCATGTGCTTTGTAAAAATACACTTAATTAGCTGAGAACTTAAACAATATGCACAAAACAAAGACGTGATGAGTAACACAAATAAGTGATCTGCATATATTTTACCAACACGTGGCCTAGATATACATTTAAAATGTTTTTAAAGCTGCATTAAGCAATTTAAGACTAACACAGCTAAGTTTGAAGCAAACAACTGACTACTTACACATTCAGCAGAAACAGAGGAACTGCAGTCGTTTTGGCCACATGTTGAACGTAAACTCAGTTCAGCTCTGGCTCGGTCCACACAACTCTTCACAAAARTATCTTTGGACTGCTATGAGATCGACCATCTTCAGTTACTTCGTCTTTCTGCCCTTTTATCATTTTGTTTTCAGCACCAAACAGAAAGTGTGCAGCCAGAAGGACTGAGCTGGCTGCACACTTTATTCTTTGCAGGAGCAGGTGCATTGGTTGGGTTTCACTGTGGGCTGGTAACCTCAGTGTGTGACCCGAACGAGGCTACGAACTCAGGTTTGGTTACATCTCTCCGACAGTCGTTTGATTCAACAAAACTACACAACGGATATTGCTTAATGCAGCTTTTAAATAGAAACGTTGAAACAAAAAGGATTGGCCACAAAGACGCTGTGGTCCATCTGACTGTTAAACACATGGAGGACAGATTTTCATTTAGTTACAACACACACAAACAGAAAGGACCTAAACCACTTCAAACTGTTTGTTGTTGAAGGGGTCTGGGCAAAGAACAGGAAGTAGCAAACAATAAAACAATAGAGCACTAAAAATAATATATTAAGCAGTAACACCAGCCTACCTTGGAAAATAACTCCATTGTGTCATGAATTATAGATCTACAACTGTTGTAAAAACAACAGGYTGTTTCAATAAAAAACACAAGTTGTTCCATCATTACTGTGAAGAATAAAAATAAGAGTTCAGAGGCGTCTGCTCAGGTACTACTAATTATAACTCATCAACAAAAGTAAAAATTAAATAATGTTTTTAATTGTGTCTTTGTCTCTTCGGTTTGACTCGTCTCCTTCACAAGAATCAAACAGCAACAAGTAAACTAACACTGAGGTACTTTGAAGAGTAGGGCTTTAAGAAAATACACTGAAATATCATAATTCATTTCCTGATACTATATTGATTTTTAATTAAAGCCTAATGGATGGTTGTTGTAAGAAGAAATGTGAAAAACAAACACAGTCTGCCCCGTTGTTCAGTGCTCTTCAGATTACAGACATTAGAATATAATCCATGGTGTGCTCTTCAGATTACAGACTTTAGAATATAATCCATGGTGTGCTCTTCAGATTACAGACTTTAGAATATAATCCATGGTGTGCTCTTCAGATTACAGACTTTAGAATATAATCCATGGTGTGCTCTTCAGATTACAGATTTTGTAATATAATCCATGGTGTGCTCTTCAGATTACAGATTTTGTAATATAATCCATGGTG